TTCATCACCTTACACGAAATAGGGTGGATACATTTCAATTCTGATTTAGGACTGGTATTGCATATAGACGCTAACACGCACACATACACATACGCATAGACTCGAGCAAAATTAATAGAACCAGTATGAAATGAAATTAGCCCAAATCACTTGCACGCACGCAAAAGCCAGAAAGATTACCTTTCAGAAGCAGGCGCTGCGACATGGCGCTGTCGTGGACATTGGTCGCCAAGCATTGGTACTCAACTTGTGTCGTCTGACCGAGAGACGAGCCCAGCCCCGACTTGCCAGTCATAAAGACCTTGTTTTCGGGTGTTTCCGTGTTCGAGGCCGCCATTCCATCAGAACTGGCGCTGCGCACATGAATCCCACTTCCAGGCACGATGGTTGGGTTCCTGGTGAACACATCGTCCATGGAGATGACGAACTGACGCATATTCCTGCGCAAATGCTGCCGCCTCTCCGCAAACTCGTCCTCGGGCAGGTCCGTGGCCGGATACGAGTCCGAGTCCCGGCCCGAGGCGGAGTCGAGGAGGCGACCAACTCCAGGATAGACATAATGGTCGGCAGTGGAGCCTTGTTCGGGGTCAGCCGCGTCCTGCTGCATCGGGAGAATGGCAACAAACTGGTTGGAACTGTAGCAGCGACGGCATGGAGGAGAAAGAGGAAGAGAGACAAGTAAACCCCGCTGACAGGTTGTCTAGAGACGTTTCAATCTGGCATCTAGTACCAACCTGCTCGAGCTTCGGCTTAAAAGCCTCGCGAATGGCGAAATGGGGTCTATGTTTGGGGAGAATCTGCCAATGACAGATGGCGTTGGGTTGGCATGTGGTGACGGGACTCGAAGCTCAGCGCTTCTCAACCCGACGACGGGAAGAGGCAATCACGACACTTTACTTTAATCACATGCCGGTTCCAGCCTCCTTTCGCCATACAGAACTGGTCCGAACTCTTACCGCATCGAATTGGGGAACCAACGTATTCATGGGCTGGTACTTTTGAGCATAAGAGACATGTCCTTCTACAACGCTCTGACACAACGACAAAGTTGCACAGAAGAGACAAATCCAATCAATCCTTTTCCAGTGCTGACAAGACAGCTCGCATTGTGCGAAGAAAAGTTGGGTTTTGAGGAGGCGACGTAACTAGTCTTTTCTTGTTTTCGTTCTAATCAGTCACTTCTCTGTACTCTTTACTCACTCCTTCTCTCTCGTTGAGACTAAAAACCAAAAATAGGCTCATCAACAAAACTGGACGAATGTCAGACCTTGCGCAATCGGAATGATGGTTCTAACGTGTATGTACGTATGCTATAAAAATCGACTACTATACTTAATTTTTCGTATTAAGTATTGTTTTCCTGATTACCAGTAAATCAGTAATATGAGATGTATTCATAACATTTCGTTCAAGATGATGTAGGGCTAATA